TCCTCATCGGGCTTCGGGGGGTGGGGGGACGAACACTACCGATGCCAATACTCCCCTGCCCTCTCCATGGGGTGCGCTCTGACCAGAACCTCGAAGCGAATCCAATGACGACGCGGGAAGGGCATCGGTACCGGCATACTTCCATACAGTCATCGGCCTGACCTAAGAAACGATAAATAAGGAACGAAACCCCTTTTTTTATCCAAAGGAATAACGCATAAGGAACGATAAAAAAACAAATAACGCATGAGGAACTGCAAATAACGCATGCAAGCCTAAGGAACGACCGAGCCCCTTTTGAAAAGTAAGCGTTCCTTATTCAAGCCGCTCACTGTATATCTTCCTCCCGTCCCCCTGGGCGCGCCGCCGAGATACCGGCATGGACGTCTGGCGGGGGCTTGGCCCTGCCCGCCAGTGCCAAGCCGCCGCCGTCGCCCTCGTCGCGACCGTCGCCAGCGCTGCGCGCGAGCCAGCAGAGGCAGCTCCAATGCCAGCGCCACTCGAGCCCGAGCTGCTCCCGGAGCAGGTCCACCAGCAGCACGCCCGCGTTGTGCCGCGACAGCCTCGGGGGGGGCGGCCGCGACGCACCTGCGGCGACCCCTGGCCGGGAGCACCCCCAGCAGGAACAGCGGAAGGCGGCACCACCACCAGCGCGAGGCGCCGGGGAGGGTCGCCCTGGTGGCACCTGGTTAGGAAGGCACCAACTATACACCAACACCGATCCTGGCCAGGATCACCCTGGGCCCAGGATCGGTGTATACGCCCTCCTGCCTTGCGCAAGAAGGCATATACACCGATCCTGGGCCCAGGGTGATCCTGGCCAGGATCGGTGTTGGTGTATAGTTGGTGCCCTCCGACTGGTCCTCTCCCTCTCGCTCGAGGCATCCCCCATCCCTAGCTCGGGGGGCGTCGTGGACCCCCTCGCTGGAAACGCCCCCCCCCCGCCCGTGATGGTGGTGGCGTCGCCTGACCTCCCGCGGGTCCTGGGCCCAGGACCGGCGCACGCACGGCTCCACAGGCCCTCCTCCCCCTCCTCCTCCTCCTCTTCCTCCTCCTCCTCCTCTGTCTTCTTCCTCCTCTCCTCCTCCTCCTCCTCCTCCCTCTCCTCCTCCTCCTCCTCCTCCTCCTCCTCCTCCTCCTCCTCCTCCTCCTCCATTCCTTGTCATTATACATAACTTGTCCTGTCGCACCCCGAGGCCACTTTTTTAGGACGGGCCGGGCTTTTCGCCTGAGATTCCAACCATTTATGACTCTGAAGCTTAAACAAAGGGCAACATTTTCACAGATGGAGGGCGGGTGGTTTTGAACATGTGGCCCCCGCCTAGGGCCTTAGCGCCGCGCACATTCGCTTTCGAACTGTGCAAGAGTTTCACCGATTGAGGGCGGGCCGTTTTCAAAATGTGGCTCTCGCCTTAGCGCCGCGCACACTCGTCTTACACATTAGCACTGAGCTTCACGGATTGAGGGCGGGTCGTTTTCAAAATGTGGCTCTTGCCTTAGCGCCGCGCACACTCGTCTTACACATTAGCACTGAGCTTCACGGATTGAGGGTGGGTCGTTTTCAAAATGTGGCTCTTGCCTTAGCGCCGCGCATACTCGTTTTACACATTTGTAGAAGTTTCACAGATTGACGGCGGGTCGTTTCAAAATGTGACTCTCGCCTTAGCGCCGCGCACATTCGGTTTACACATTTGCATGAGCTGCACGGAGTGAGGGCAGCTCGTTTTCAAAACGTGGCTCTCGCCTCAGCGCCGCGCAAATTCTTTGTAAACATTTGCGAAAGATTCACGGTTTCCCATAATCAACGTACCAGAAATGGAGTTTTGGAAGAATGCCGGATTCTGCGGGTGAAACAATTATGTTGACTCGCGGTGTTTGAAGTCCAAAAAATGACTTTCTGGCACGAGTCCAGATCGCCAGGATGCAGCAGTCAGGTTGATCCGTGGCGTGGGCATCCCGAAAACAGTGTTTTGGCATGCTTCAAGGTCTTCAAACGGTTGTCTTCCAACGAGGCAGTTCCTTGCAAATGAACCGTTGTAGGGGCATATGACGAGGGAGCTTGGAGGGAGGGTAAATTCCAACATCGTTGATTACTCTTGGGTTTACGCTGGTCCTCCTCCTCCTTCTGTCCTCCTCTGTCCTCCTCCTTCTCCTCCTCCTCCCCATCCGCGGCCAGGAGCGCAGACGCACAGGCGCACACCCACACACACACAGCACACCCACATCCACACACGCACACGCACAAGCACACACACAGCACACCCACACACGCACACGCACACGCACATGCACACAGACAACACACACACACACACGCACACATGCACACACGCAAACAAACACACACAACACACAACACACACACACAACACACAAGACACACACACACACGCACACACAACACACACACACAAAACACACACACAACACACACACACCACACAGGCATACACACGACACACACACAACACACACACAAAGCACCACACACGCACACACTTTCCCAGGATACTCTCCGTGGCGTTAGACGCACGCCTGGGGGCCGCGCGCGCGCCGAGCAGCTGGCCTCTCGCGGGGCGGCGGCTCGGTAGGCGGAGCAGTGGCCGGGGCGGCTGGAGCAGGGGCGGCGGTCAAGGAACTCGCGCGATCGCACTCGCACACACACACAGACACACACACACACACACACACACACACACACGCACTTTTGGGCGTCGCGGCCCTGCACGCGGCGACGGGGCATAGAAGGTGGGAAAGCACTGCACACACATTCACACACGCGCACGCCTATCCAATGTCCCCAAGGTCTGGGGAAACCGGCAGGTACCGATACCGCTACTTCCCGGACCTCTCCCAGGGGTGCGCTCTGACCATGATCTTGAGGCGAATCCAGCGGTGGCGACGAGGGCCTCCCAGGAGATACCCAAAAGGGGAAACTGGGGAAACGCAGCCGTAACGGTACCTTTCCTCCTCGGAGGCTTCTGTTCGAATGCGTGGGCCCCAGAGGTCCGGACCACTTCCCCCAGGCCGGTTTTTCGTCCTGAGTCGCTGTTTCACGCTCCCGCGGGCCTGGCGAGGGCCCCCGGAGGCCGCAAATGGCCAAAGGCCGCCCGCCCCAATTTGTTCGGAGCGTCGGATCTCATAGGCCGTGCTCGGCCAGGCCAGGGCGCCGCGATTGGTGCGCAAAACGCTCCCGCCCCCGGAGGCCTCGGGACGGGCCACGGGTTGCCCAGCCCCGCCACCACCCGCATGGCCGGGCGGCGCGGCGCGGCGGGCCGCGGGCCGCGGCTGGGTGCGAGAAACCGCTCTTCCTCTTTCCTCCTCCTCCTCCTCCTCCTTCCTCCTCCTCCTCCTTCCTCCTCCTCCTCCCTCCTCCCCCTCATCCTTCCTCCTAATCATTCCTCCTCCTCCTTCCTCCTCCTCCCTCCCTTCTCCTCCCTCCTCCTTCGTCCTCCTCATTCTTCTTCCTCCTTCCTCCTCCAGATCCCTCCTCCCTCCGCCTCCTCCTCCCTCCTCCTCCTCCCTCCTCCCCCTCCTCCTCCTCCTCCTCCTTTCTCCTCGTCCTCCTCGTCCTCCTCCTCCTCCTCCCCGCCTTCCTGGCGCCGCCAGAAGGGCGAAGTCCGTCTGGCGGCGCTCTGGGCTGGTGGAAGAACTCATGATGAAATTCCTGCTGCTTCTGATGCTGCTCCAACTCCCGAGCCCTAACGGGCGTGCTCCACGGGCGTGATCCAGCCTCTGGCGCGGGATCTTACCCTAGCATCACTCATGTTGCCTGGTGAAGGCCTTCTTGATGTCCGTCGTGCCGCTCATCACGGAAATACGAAGGATATGGAGGGAGGTAATGATAAGGGCAAGCAGATGATAAGGGCAAACAAATGGACAAGGAAAGGGGGGCAGCTTTTGAGGCCTGCCCCCATTGGCAACAAGGCGACCGGCAGCTTCACCAGGGAGGGAGGGGGGGGGCTTCCGAAGCACGTCTTCCAGGCCCCACAAGGGCGCTCTTTCCCTCCTGTCACGGCACTATAAACAGCGGCTTTCGCAAACCGCCGGCGTGCCCGAGAACACTGCAACCATGGATTGAACACGCATTCTTCATCATCTCCCACTGGGTCTGGCAAAGTCTTGGCGTGTAATGTCCGCTTCAGGGGGCATGATCCTGCTCCTCATTGACGAGGTAGGGCCAGGTGCCTCGATGGCTTCGCATGCGGGGGCCGACTCGCGCGCTTGCTCCCGCCCTTAGTCGGATGCGGGCCTTTCCCTGCAAACAGTGGTCTCCTGACTACTGGCGTTATCAGGCGAAGCCAGGCACACTGCTAGGCGGTCCCAAATTCGGGCAGAAAGTTCCGGGGGGAGGCAACAAACGTAGAGCCACGACAGGGGGTACAGGTAAGTTGCTCCACAAGCGTCCCTTCAGAGCCCCAACACCGCCAGTCCAGAACATACATATGCTGGAAAAGCGTGCCTGTACTCCCCCAAATAATGTTTCCCTTTTTTATCTTCTGGCCGACAATACTACGTGAGACCGTCTGGCACAAGCAGCCTTGATTTGAGGCAACTTTGCTCACAACTCGAGCGGCGGTGCTGCTCACAACTCGATGACGAACCAACAGCGCGAGTCAGAACGTGCTCGTGCAAGCTTTGTACAACTCAGGCGGAACCTGTCTGTGGTATAAGCTGTATATGACACCAAATTAATTCCATCCCCTACAGGTCAGCTTTCTGAAACACCGGAGGGGGGTCAGAACATGAACCTGCAGCCACACGAAACCCAGCGGGGGTGTCCGATACCTCAGTCGACTGGGCCCGCAAGGGCAGAGTTCGCAATCGACCGCAGATAAAAAGTAACGGCGGGTGCATCTGATTCACAGATCGCAGGGAAGCCAGACACCGAACGGGCGGCTGGAGCGGACGCTTCGGGTGCGCCGAAGAGGGGGGCCAGGAACGGTGTGACTAGCGAGTCATGGCCTGAGGCATGTGCGCGGACGATGTGGGGAGCCCGGGAGCGCATTGAGAGAAGAAGAGGGGCCATAACACCTGGGAGGGCGCAGGAGAGTCCATGGCCCCAGCCACGAGATCCACACGCAGCACGAGCGGCGAACATACCCGTATCCAGGCCCTCGCGGCCTGGACTCCTGGGCGCGACCTCGCGGATGCGCGGTCACACGGATCCGTTCCGCAGGGGGGCCCTCCGCGAGGAAGCACCCCGCATCGTCGTCAGCCCGCACGCCTTTCGCCCGCACGCTCCTCCGAGCCCCCTCGTGGACGCCCCCGATTGCCCGTGGCGACGCGGCCGTGCCCCTGGCGGCGCGCCAGAGCCTGCGCGCCGCCGCCCCCGCAGCGGGCCGACGCCGAGGCGTACAACACCCCGGCAGGGCCGCCGAGAGCGGCAGGCTTGGCCGCCAGGGGCGGCCCGGCCGCCGGAGGCGGCGCGACCGCTGCTCCCGAAGATCTCCAGGGGCTCACAGGTTCGCGCTTCGCGCGAAGCGCGGGCAGCTTCGGCGAAGCGCGGACAGCTTCGCGCCCTCGAGGGCGCCTTTGCTCCCGGAGACCTCGGGGGTCTCGAAGCCGTGTGGTGGCGGGCCGCGCGGGAACTTGGGGAAATCAAAAGGGTACCGATACCGCTACTCCCCGGACCTCTCCTGGGGTGCGTTCTGACCAGGATTTCGAGGCGAACCCAGCGGTGGCGACGAGAACCTCCCAGGAGAGCGAAAAAGGGGAAAACGGGCGAGGGGGTAGCTCTCAGGGCGTTCCGAGTCGCTCCGGAACGGATTTCCCCTCGTCCTTACCCCGTCCGATATGGGCGCCTACGTGGCTCCCAGCGCTGCCTAATGTGCGCCTGATTTGGACCGCATTTGGAACACATTTGGGGCAGAGTTTGGACTGGACTCGCCCCTTCACGAGGAAGAGAAGGAGGAGGAGGAGGAGGAGGAGGAGGAGGAGGAGGAGGAGTAATTAGAAGGAGGAGGAGGAGGAGGAAGGAATAGGAGGAGGAGGAGGAGGAGGAGGAGGAGGAGGAAGAGGGGGAAGAGGAAGAGGAGGACGACGAGGACAAGGACAACAAGGAAGAGGAGGAGGAGGAGGAGGAGGAGGAGGAGGAGGAGGAGGGGCACAGGAAGGGCGAGGAGCAGGAGGAAGGACCAAACGCGGTCCGAGCGCATGAGAAGCTGATCCCAACGTCGCTTCCCCAGGCTCCCAGGAACGGCCATCGAACACGCGGTGGGGTCGCCACACCGTTTGGGAGCCCCCGAAGATCGCAGGGAGAGCCAGAACGGGCGGCCAGAGCGGACCCTTCACTCCTCGGCACAGATCACCGGGTCACCCCTGTCGCAGCTCCCCTGCCGGCTCGTCGCGTGTGTGCTCGCCGTCTTCCCGTCCTGTGCGAGGGGACCAGCTCTGCGGGCAGGCCTGGCGCCTTTGATCAGTGGCTCGCCGAGGGGGGAAGTGAGATCGGTGGTTCAAGGCTGGGGTCCTGAGGGATGGGGCCCCAAGGAAGAGGTGCCTCAAACTGTATGTACATATGTGCATATATAGTGTTTGTATGTATATATATATATACACGCACGAACATATCCACACTAGGAACCCTCCCTATCACTAGGTCCCCATCCCTCAGGGCCACATCTTTGAGTCGCCGATGCGAGGGGCCCGGCCGTCCCAGAAGGCAACGTGATTTCTCCGAGGCCACCTCTTGGGGAAAACCAAAGCATACCGATACCGCTGCTCCCCGGATCTCTCCCGGGGCGCATTGTGACCAGTGTTTCGAGGCGAGACCTCCAGAGGTGACAGTATGGGTGCCGTTCCCCGGACGGCACCGTGGCTTCTCCGAGGCCACCTCTGGCCCTCTGGGAAGCCTTCCGTGCCTCAGGAGATGGCACGGAGAGCTCCTCACGAGGCCCGGCGCCTTCTGAGCCTTCTGCGCAGGCCCGGCCGGCCCCTCGGCCTGCTGCCCCCCTGGGCGCGCCGCCGACTCGAAGAGGAGAAAGCAGGCCGGCTGCCGTCTGCGAGCGGGGGCCTCTGTGCGAGGCGGGGGATTATCCACAACCGCCACGTGGTGCATCGAGCTTCGAGGACCTCGCCATGACCGCTGCCTGCGGCATCAATCTCCAAAGACTTCGGCCGGATCTGCCTGGCCTGGACACATCCCCGCCTCTGACAACGGGTTGCATATTGTACAGGCTCTGCGGAGGAAGTGGGGGGTCGTTTTCAATCTTACCATTAAGGCGGGCGTGTCCCCCTACAGGGGGATTTTGGACGAAAGATAAAGGATACCCCAAAACTACTTCGAAATGGTCAACAAATAATCACAAAATCGTCCCCAGACTATTTTTTTACTACTTCTGGATATTCCTGATGTAGAGGAACAGGCCCGACTTAATCTTACCAGCCTGCACGAAGGTACTGGCGCGCTCCGCGCGCCAAGGGGCGGCATCGGAGACGCCAGCAGGGGGGCCCAGCGCCGATCCGAGGGATCTGCGCGGAACTCTGACAGCTTGTCTGCCCCAACGGTTTGCTACTGCAGCGGTCGTACCGGAGGGAACACGCAAAGGGTAGGAACAAGGAAAGGCGACACCAACACCAACAGGGCGAGGATATGCGAGGAGCAAGGGGGGCCTCCCTGGTGGTGTGGCCCCCCCTCTCGCTCGAGCCATCCCCAGCCTTCAGCTCGGGGAGGCATCGGGAACCTCCTCGATGGAGGTGGGCCCCCTGGTGGTGTTGGTGTCGCATCTCCCTCCTCCGCAATGGGCACGACCGAAAATGGGAACGGCCAAAATGGGCACGATGCTCAGCAGCGAGGGTCCTTCGCGACGCGCGCATGCGCCGTCGAAGCCCGCACCAGCTGCCTTGCTGGAGGGAGGCTCCTGGGCAAGCGGGGCTCCCGCCTCGGCGACGCGCGCAGTCGTTCTGAAGGACTGCGGCGGCTCTCGGGATGGAGCCCTCTGAGGGGGCCCAGGGACACACACACACACTTAAATACAAACAAATAACAGGACTCCCAATCTTTTTTTCCGTATTTGTGTTGGATGTTCGCCTTCCCCCCAACATCCCCTATTCTCCGATTTCTCCCAGGGAGTCGACAGCTAATTGTGTCGGTGTGTGTTGTTCCCCTCCTGGCCCTCTGCAAACAATCAAGCACTTCCGCGGGAGACCGCCTCCAGCTCCAACCACAAGAGCCCGAGCATCCGTACCCACGGCACGGGCAATGGCGCGATCCCAGTTTCAGTGGGGCTCCCGCTGGCGACTCTCTCGGCAGGAGCGCAAGCTTGTGCAGGGGTCGTCACACAGACGAGGGGCGGCTCCTTGCTCCATTTTTGTTCAAAGAAGGGACGGCTTCTTGTTCAGATAAGAAGCGCTTCCTTGTTCCATTGTTGTTTCAAAGAAGGGACGGCTTCTTGTTCAAATAGGGGACGGCTTCTTGTTGAAAATACAGATCCGGACGCGCCGCCGTTCCGTTTCTCCCTGGCACTGATTATGCCGGACCTTCCGCCCTCAGTTTTGACCACGCCTGCCTGCACTACATTCGATGCAAAGTGTCTTGAAATTGAGGTTTCCACTGGTTGTGGGAAGGTTTCTAGAATTATGGCGGTATTCCAAGACATCTAAAAACATTCCACAACATCCAAAACATCCAACGACATGCCGAAACACTCTAAGATATAATCACAGTTATCCTTTTTCGTTTTCGCCATAATCGCCATCACCGCCTTGCTCATCATAACCACCACCATCATCATCACCACCTTCACCGATTCCATCATCATTCGTACTATCATCACTATCATGGACCCCATCATCCTCCTCCTCGTCCTATTCCTCCTCAGCATCCAAATTGCCATCATCATCCTCATCATCGTTATTCGCATCATCATTCCATCACCAGCCCCCTTCAGCATCATCATAATCATCATCAGCACAATCATCATCAGCATCATCATCACCATCATCATCATAAATATCACCAGCATCATCACCATCATCATCGCCATCGTCAGCATCCACATCATCATCATCATCACCACCACCACCACCACCATCATCATCATCATCATCATCATCATCATCATCATCATCATCATCATCATCATCATCATCATCATCATCATCATCATCGCCATCCTCATCAACAACAGCACCATCATCGTCGCCGTCATCATCGGCAATCGCATCAACATCCTCATCCCAATCCCCATCCTCATCTCCTCGATCCCAATCCCCATCCTCGATCCCATCCTTGATCCGCATCCTCGATCCTCCTGGATCCCAATCCCCACCCTCTCCCCATGTCTTGACGTTCTGGCCGTGTGAATTGTCTGGCCGAAAACTCAGACACATCGCACTGACTCCCGGAACATGAACGCGAAGGCACAGCTTAGTTCACGGGCCCGATGCATAACACATGGACTTACTCTCGAACAGGACAATAGCAAATTGCATAGTTTTCCAAACGAACAACTCAAACACGTCTCAGCCCTCGGCACGAAAACTAAGACATGTGTCAGCTGTTGGACAGAAGATTAACGACATGTCCGAAAACTGAGGCATGTCAGACTTTTCGGGCTGAGAACTAAGACATGTCTTAGCTTTCGGCCCGAAAAAGCAAATATGTCTGAAGTTTTCGGGCCGAAAACTAAGGCATGTCGTAGTTGCTGGGCCAATTACTAAGACGTGTCTTAGTTTTCGGCCAGAGAAATCTGGAAAGTCAGACATGTCTCAGTGTTCGGGCAGAAACCAAGACACGTCTTAGTTTTCTGGGCGAACACTGAAACTGGCTCAATTCTCGGGCCGAAAACGAATGACGTGTTCAAGACGTGTTCAAGACACCAGAAGACATCTCAAAACATTTCAAAATATGTCAAGAGGTTTCGGGACATTTTAAGACATTCGCAAACACCCGCAGACATCCGCAGGCATTTTCAATCCAGTTCTTAGACATATCAAGACATTTCGACACTTCAAGACATTTCAAAACAATTCAAAACAGTTCGAGGGATTCCAAGACAGTCCAAGATATCCTCAGACATCCGCAAAAAAACACAAAGACATGTTCAAGACATACCAAGACAGTTCAAGTCATTTCAAGACAATCACAGACAACGAGAGCCATCCACGGACGCGCGCAGACGCTGACAATTCCGGGCCAAACCAACGACAACGCTTTGGAATATTACAGTGCCCCTCAAAAGCGCGAAGATATGGCATAAACCTGAATAAGCATGCGGTTCTGTTGTCTGGAAAGCTCTGGATTTCAGCGCCGTGTGGTAAACAACTCAGCGCCATATGTATCATATATTTGCTTTATCGACGCGAACATTTGGGTCCGAACGTGACGCTATCAGTATGAATGTAGGCTTGGCAGAAGTTGTTTCATATGAACGCGGGTTCGGCATGCGTCTTCTGATGAAACGCTGATGTCGATGGCGGTGGCGCCGTTTCTCATGAGTTGTTGTGCGAAGATCCGTTTTCTTTAGAACAAAACCTAGGAAGAATGGAACCTGGATCGAGGATTCGGGAACGACGATCGAGGACCGAGGATCGGGATTCGAGAAGGATCGAAGATCGAGGATCGAGGATCGGGATCGAGGATCGGGATCGAGGATCGGGATCGAGGATCGGGATCGAGGATCGAGGTAGGAGGGTAGAGGATGGAGGATGGAGGATCGAACATCGAGGAGATGGAACATTGATCGAGGATGTAAGATCGAGCATCAACGATCGAGGACCGAGGATCGAGGAGGGCACTCGAGGATCGCGAGATCGAGCAGGAGATCGAGGAGAGCTTGCGGAGGCGATCGGGTAGGCGATCAAGGGATCGATCCATCGAGGATCGAGTCGTCAGTCGAGGATCGGGAGATCAAGGAGGTCGGGGGACCGAAGAGCGGATCGAGGGGGGAGATCGAGGATCCATGGGGTCGGTAGGGGATCGAGGATCGAGGACCGAGGCTCGAGGATCGCGTCTCCATCGTCGCCAGCTTGATTATCAAGGTAATGATCAGCATCAGCATCAGCATCAGCATCAGCATCAGCATCAGCATCAGCATCATCATCATCATCATCATCATCATCATCACCACTAGCATGGTCATCGGTACCAGCATCGCGAGCATCGACATTATACGATGATCATGGATATCGCAATCGTGATCGCCATCCTCCATTTCCTTCTTATCATCATCACCATCATCATGTCCTCATCATCTTAAGCCACCGTCATGATCGCGATCACACAACATATGGACATCAAAACCGTGATCGTGGTTCTCCTCCTTCAGCTCCTCCTCCTCCTCATCATCGTAATCGTCAGAATCACCATCATCATCACCATCGGCATGCCCATCTTCTCCTCTTCCTCATCATCACCATCGTCACTTCCATCATCATCATCATCATCATCATCATCATCATCATCATCATCATCATCATCATCATCATCAGCATCAGCATCATCATCATCATCAGCATCATCATCATCATCAACATCAACATCATAATCGCCAGTATCATCAGCATCATCTTCATCATCGTCGTCGTGGTTGTCATCCACATCATCAACATCAAAATCAAATATACGCTCACCCACATACTGGTTCAAGACAACGCAGGCTATGTCCAGTACCAAGTTTATCAAGGTACGGAGACATGCAAAGACACTGATAGACATCCGAATATACTTCCGAAGACGCAACCAAAACCCTAGCACCTTCCGCGCCTTCCCGAAGGTGCGGAAGAAGCAGGGCCAGGGCTGCTTATGCGAGGAAAGGGTGCGCTGCAGGCCAATGTCAAGAGAGGGGGCTCTCTCGCCCGAATGGCAGGCCGAAGGGGTGATGGTATGTCAAGGGGGCCCTAGTGGTTGTCAAAGGGAAGCATGCAAAGATTCACGAGGAAGCCCTTCGAGACGGGAGGGTGCATTGCAACATCGTTGATGCATCTCCTCCTCCTCCTTCTCCTCACCTCTTCCCCAGCTCTCTCCACCTACACTCCACCTCCTCCCCTCTTCTCCGTCTCCCTCTCCTCCACTCTTTCGTTCCTTATGGATAGCTCCGCCCTGTCGCAGCCCGAGACGGGTCGGTGAGGGCTGGCCCGGCGTTTCTCCTGAGACTTCCCCACTGTTTATGATCCTGAAGCTTAGGAGTTGCAACAGTTTCAAGGATTGAGAGCGGGTGAATTTCAAAATGTGGCTCTCGCCCTAACAGCGCGCACATTCGTCTTAAAAGTTTGCAAGAGATTCACGGACGGAAGTTGGGACGTGTTCAAAATGTCGCTCTCGCCTCAGCGCCACGGACATTCGTCTGATTGGGCTGCAAACAAATACCAGGTGGAGGGCGGCTCGTGTTCAAAACGTGGCTCTCACCTCAGCGCCGCGCACACGTGTCTTAAACGTTTGTATGAACTAACAGGATGGAGGGCGGTTCCTTCTCTAAATGTGGCTCTCGCAGCGCACATTCGTCTTAGCAGTTTACAGCAGCACTTTCGAATTTTCTCATCGCTGATGTCCCAGCAATGGTGACGTGTCAAGATTTCGGATTATCGGAGCCGAGAAACACCTTGATTCGCGGTGTTAACGTCCAAGAAATGCTATTCTGGCACGATTTGAGATTGGCAGGTCGCAGCAGCGACAGTGATTCGCGGCGTGAAAAGTCCCAGGGATCGTGCTGTGGCACAGTTGAAGATTTTCAAACGGTTGTCTTCCGACGAAGCTCATCCCGCAGTGAAAATTGATCCTCGTAGAAGTCTGTGGATGGGCAGCGTGGAGGGGGATGCTCCTCCTCGTCCTCCTCCTCCTACTCCTCCTCCCCCTACTCATGCTTCAGCTACTCTTGTCTTGATGGCAAGTGGCGCAGGACGCAGGACTTCTCTGCCACCGTCCTCCGCGTATTTGGAGCACTTGGCAAGGGATTTAGTCAACGCACAAGCCAACGTAGCGGAACGTGCATGCTCCAGGTCGCTGGGGCACGTCTTAAACTGATCCCGCTTGGCAAAGCGTCTCTGAAAACCCTGCCTCCGAACATGATGGCGTCTCCCTCCGTCCTTCCGCCGATCTGCCGCCAGCGGCTCCGCCGCCGTTTTGCTTCCGCCACCCTCCGCTGGCCGTCCGCCGAGGGCAGAACGCACCGCGCGCGGGCCCGTTCTGGAACGCCGACCCAGACATCCGCCATCGTGACTTTCTCGCAACGTGGACCACGGAATTCTAGACCGCCTTCCCGGTAAAGGCTTTCCTTTCTGAATATGGCTCTGACAGTCCAGGGGCCGCTCCCAGCAGGGCCCCCAAGCCAACCCCTCCCCCCGCCAGTATTTTTCACGCCTCCGCGGCCACTGTCCATCTTGTTCCACGTGTACCGGTGCGCAATTACCTCTGCCACGTCCCGGCTGTTGTTCACCGACGCCCCGTGTCACACGTCGCCGCCGACAAAGCATGTTTGCTTCACAGAGCGGGGCAATCAGGGCCGGTAACTCATCCCATGGTAACCCCAACAGCTCCCCCCAGGCTGTGACAGGCTGTGACAGGCTGTGACTGGGTAGCGAGGGGCGGTGCTGAGACCGCCCAGGCCTCGCCATCGCTCGGACGTCCATTCCCCGTGCACTTCTCGATCTCGTGCGTGTTTGTCTTGCTCGGTGGATGGGGGCTCAGCGCATCGTTGCCCCAGGCGTGCGCCTTGAGAGGGGAAGAGGGGGCCATGACACCTGGGAGACGTCGTGCCCTGGCCATGATGTCCACGCACCCCTCGTTCTCACCTGGAGGCACCCCGCGTGGGAGGCAAATTGAGCAGGGACCGACCGTCGCGGCATTCCTATAGTCCTACCACGAAATGTTCTTAGAACCCAAACATGTTCTAATAACAAAAACAATGTTCTTAGAACATAAACCCGGTGAGTTAAAACAAGACGGTCGTGGAAACCACAAAAGGTTCTTAGAACATTCTTTGGTAGGGCTATAGGCGAGCCAGGACGCTTCGCCACTGCTTGAGCAACATCAAAAGGTTCTTAGAACATTATTTGGTAGGGCTATAGGCGAGCCAGGACGCTTCGCCACTGCTTGAGCAAAATAGAGGAGGTCGGAGGATTGCGTGGCCCAGCTGACGTTGCGGCGCCGCCGGCGTCGAAAACATCGGCCTCCGCATCGAGCCGCGTCGCCGATGCGTCGGCGATTCGGAGCGCTCCGCCGGCCGGATCCGCTCGGACCCCGCTTGGGCCCCGCTTGGGCCGCTTGGGGATCCTGGATGGCCCCCTCCATGATACCCACACACGCTGGTCCTGACCCCCTCTTCGACGCCCTCGAACCTCGACCCTCGGCGCCTGCGAAGGCCGACCGGGACTGCTGGACAGTCTGCTCGCAGCCCCCCATAGGTGCTTCCGCTCCTCCTTCTGCTCCTGCTCCTGCTCCTGCTCCTCCTCCTCCTCGTCCTTTTCCTCCTCGTCCTCTTCTTCCTCCTCTTCCTCCTCCTCCTCCTCGTCCTCCTCCTCCTCCTTCCTTGGCTCCTGGGAGGCGAGCTCCCAGCTGGGGACGAACTCTTGGGCCTCCGCTTGCAAAAGCTCCCACCACGGGACGAACACCGTGGCCTCGGGCCAAAGGCGAACGGAGGGAGGAGTAGTACGAACATTGAGAAGGAATGGGGGGAAGGATAGGGGAGGGGAAGCCAACGGTGAGGAAGAGAAGAGCGAGGGAGGGAGGGAGAGAAGGAGGACGAAGGAGGCAGGAGGAAGAGAATAATGAGGTCAAGGCGGCGGACGAGGATGCTGCATGATGATGAAGGGGACGGAGAAGGGAAGGAAAGAGGACGAACCTCGCTGAGGGGTATCCCTGCTGCCGGCCCGCACCCCACTGCCCGCGAGAAGGAAAAGACAACGGAAAACTTTTGTTTCGCGTAGCCAAAAAAGCTCAGAAGAGGGGTGATGAGCGCCAGCGGGTTTCTGTATCCGCCGCCAACCTCGAACCGATCTCCGGCACGGGCCCCCACACACACACCGCGCTGAAAGCACCGCGACTTTCCCGGACGGCGCGCCGACGTGGCGAGTTTGACCTCCCTCGGGCCCCCGCGCATGTTGCGAGAACTACGACAGACGACGATGACGACGGGCAGCATGTAGAATGTACGTCTGGGTATATTGCGAGCGCGAGAGTACAAGTCGTCGTCATTCTGGGATGAGGGAAGGGGAGGACAAGAGGAGGACGGGAGCGGGAACCAGCACGACGGAGGGGACGAAGTGGCAGAGGAGAAACGAAGAGGACAACGAGGATGAGAAAGATGAGGACGAGAAGGGTGAAGGTGAGGAGGAAGCGGAGGACGGGGAGGACAGGCAGGATGAAGAGGACAAGGAAGGCGAGCAGGAGGAAGCAGAAGACAACGAGGACAAAACCTGCAAATGGGAAGGACTGGGAAAGACAAGAAAACCACATCGACGAGGATGAACAGCAACACCGAACGGAAGAAACGAACTCCGCGACCTCGGCCCGGAGCTCGTTGGAACTGCTCGCCTGACCCTCGGAAACCGCGTCGGCGTCCCAGATGCCGGGCGCCGGGGCGATGACCTCCCACAGACGGCACCCAGAGACGGCGGCCACACGATGACGACGACAGCCTATGCACATGGAAGATATGGATGACGACGAAAATAGTTATAGCGACCCCATCCTCAATCAGAATCATTCTCCTTGTTCGCATGGAGGGGGAAGAAATGGAGGAATAATATAAGAACAATGATATAATGATACAGGATGGAATCTGTGGAGGGATGGAGGATGAGAAGTGACCAAGAAGGGACGGACGGGACGAGGAGACGAAAGAGTAGGAGGAGAAAGGGGAGGAACAGAAAGGGGACAGCAAGAAAGTGTGAAGAAAGAAACATAGGAATCGAGGGGAAGCTCGGAGATGAGAAGCGGAAAAAGGCGGGGGAAAATTAGCAGTCCCAAGGGGGGGGGAGGCCGATGGAGGGACAGCAGCAACCAGGAACGGTGACGGATGAAGCAATAGCGAGATGGAGGGAGAGAATGGCAAGGAGAGAATGACAGATAATCACAGAGAGGGAAAGAGAGAGAGAGAGAGAAACAGAGACAGAGAGAAAACACGAGAAGACGAAAACCAACGACGTCTTACAAACGTGTATGGTTCATCGTGGTTTGTAGATCCGTCAATAAAAAACATAGACACCTACACAAACATGCATAACGACCACGCAAAAACTGCAGAAACAAAGGAGACGAGGGAGAGAGGGACAACAACAAAACGCAAATACATCCGTTGACGTCAAGCTGCTACGGATCCTGATTTTGTCTCTGCAGTCGCGCGCCCAGTTCACCGTCCACCAGGGGAGGGGCGCCTGGCAAAACAAGTCACATCGGGGTGACTCAACTCGCTGGCTGCTCGAGTCAGCACCGCGCGGCATGGAAGACGCAGAAGGCTTCAGACATGCCCCCAGAAAACTCCGAATGTGGCCTCAAGAAACGAACGGGGCCAGAGACAGCCGATGCTCCCACGGGGCCCAGGAAGGCCCCCGGCAGCTCTGTGCCCCAGGAGGGCCCCAGAGCAATCTTCACAAAGGCTCCCGGCGTAGAGACCTCGTCTGATATGTTTTGGCATCTTGCCGCGCTAGCGCTGTTTCGGGCCTCCGACGAGTCAAAACGGCCTGCCCAGCCACCCGAATTGTCCCCGGGACCGCCGAACACGGCCGCCACGCCCCAAGACGCAACAATCTCAGCGCGGCCGACCCGCAACGGCCCAGCACGGCGCGGCGGGGCCCCGAGACAACGCACAAAGACAGCAAACAAATCAGGCCGACAGGTCGTGCTCGCCAAAACATGGCCCCAGGCGCCCTCCAATCTTCGCCCAGAGTGCCCGAGGCGCCCCAGAAACGGCCCCCCGCGCGCCCCGCGACGCAGTCCCAACTGCTCCAGAGCGGCCGCAGCCAGCTCATCCTCGGGGGCCAGCGGCACAGGGGGCAGCCCCTCGGATACGGCATGCGGCCGATTCCGCCTGCGGCGCGGGCCACGCGATATCGCTCAGCCCGCGCGCGTGCCCAGCACGGGCCACCTTGCCACTGCAGGCCCCTCGCGCATCATCGCCTTCTCGACCCTCTCCGAATCATCGTCGCAGCTCATAGCGTTGCGCCATGGGGCGACTCGGCCGCGCGCGCCTGGGTTGGAGCCCGCGCCGATGACGAGACCGAGCTCGCAGCCCGCGCGCGCTGCCGAGCCCGCGCCAGGAACTGGTGCCCCACCGCCCTCGCCGCGCGTCGCCTCGCTGCGCACTCGTGCATTGGCATTGCGCGGAGGGCTTCCGCAGGCGAGCGCAGTGGCCCGCTTGCACATCCACCTACTCCAGATTTCGTAATAAAGGGAGGGGGGTCTCATTTCGGGGGGGGGTCTCTTCCAGGCTATCTTGGAGGGCCTGGGGGGTCTGGGGACGATGTTTTGGAGGGTTCTCCCACGGGGGAGGTCTGAAATGGCTTGTCTTGGAGGGTCCAGACCCCCTCCCTTTTATTACGAAATCTGGAGTAGCCAATCTCTGGCGCCCGCGGATCAATTCGTACATGCTGAGCGGCAGGACTGCCCAGGCCGCGAGCACCTCCTCGCTCGGCGCCCCGCCGCCCTCGGCGCGCCGCGGGCGCTCGGCGCCCCTCCCCCGCCGCGCCCGTCGCGGCCGATGCCGGCGGGGCCGGCGTCGCACGCTTGCCAGCGACGCGCGCCGATGCCTGGCCGGGCGACGCCCGGCTTGGCCCAACAAGGGCCGCGGGCCACGCTGCGCCCGCAGCGCCACATCGGGCAGCGAAGCGGGGGGGGGGGCGCCGCCCCAGGGGAGGAGGAGGAGGAGGAGGAGGAGGAGGAGGAGGAGGAGGAGGAGGAGGAGGAGGAGGAGGAGGCGGAGGAGGAGGAGGAGGAGGAGGAGGCGGAGGAGGAGGAGGGGGCGGCGCCCCCTGGGGCGACCTGGTGCGTCACCTCCCGGCCGCCCGCGGCAGGCGTGCGTGCCGCTCTGGGCCCGCGGGCGGAGGCGCGCAGACGGGCCGAGGGTCGGCGGGGCGGCGCGCCGAGACGAGGCGGGCGCGGCGCGGCAACGCTGATGACTACCTGCCAGACCACCCCAACCCAACCCGAAGACCCGAATTTCGGGTTGGGGGGGGTAAGGGTTCCACACGTGTTTTTTCAACGTTTCCCGACCCCCCCCCACTGGAAATCGAGGGTAAATCTGAGCCTTCGGGTTGGGTTGGGGTGGTTTGGTGGGTGGTGAGCTGAGAGGTAGAGCAAGTACAGTCATCGGCCCGACCTAAGGAACGATAAGTAAGGAACGAAGCCCCTTACTTCTCCAAGGAGTAGCGCGGAAGGAACGACATATAACAGACAACGCAGTAAGGACCGATGAATCACGCATGCAAGCCCAAGGAACCGACCGAGCCCCTTTTGAAAAGGAAGTGTTCGCTATTCAAGCCGCTCACTGTAAGACAGGAAGGGCGCCATGGAATAGATGGGGAATGAAAGCGAAGTTCAGCTCAGCTCCCCGACCCGGAGGAGGACGCGGCAGGCGCTGGCGAATGATGGGGGCGACGGAGGGGGAGCGCGCATAACGGCGCGTCGCGTCATCATCCTGAAGGCCACATCCCAGGACGCACTTGATCGGCTGTCTGCCGATGCCGTCTTGCTGTGCCCCACCCACAGAAGATAGTTTCGATGGTGCGAGCGGTGACGCGCGCGCGCGCGGTGGCGCGGGGGTCTCTGTTTTCCGGGCAGCCAGTTCGGACCCGCGCGCGGTCGGCGCCATCGTCATTGGAGGCAGCTCCAAGGTTTTCTTGAAAACGAGGCCTGGGGCGAAAACCTGAAGGCTCCGAGCAGTCCTGAAGGCATCTTGGATAAGCTCAGCCACCATATTCTCGATCTGTTCCGGGTGAATGTCTTCGGGGGCGAGGGGCCTGATCTGGTTGAACCTAGAGCCCGCGAGTCCTCGGGGCGGGATTTCTGGGGCCCAGTACGATTGCAGCAGTCGCTCGCCAGAGGGAGCCTTGCAGTTGCGCGTGTTAGGAAGGTTCGAGAAGCAGGCGGAGGCGTGCGCGGCGCGTATCACAATGGCTTTAGCTGCAATCTCCAGGGGCCAGCATTCCTGAGGGCGCCCGAGATCGGCCAGTCCAGCGATCGCCGCTGGCGAGACAGCATGAATGCCTTGGACAGCAGGTGAATGAATTTATGGCTTTCCTTATCGTTGAGTCGCGCCCTCCTGGCACTGGGGAGAAACTTGGCGATGCGAGCTGGGATCGGCACGCAGTGCGCGTGGTAGGCAACGGCGGAGAATGTCAGCCCCTGGCCTGGACACATGACCCAGCTAGCTGTCCTCCCCAATGTGCTACCCACCTGCTAAGCGAGCGCTCCCCCGAGCCCCCGCGCCCGCGGGCGCTCCGAAGGCCGTCGCAAGGTCGGCAGAAATAAACGCGCGCGTGTTTCCCTGTTAAGGGCTCAGTGAACAAGGAAAAGGGCGGGCCAATAGACCCTGCAATGCAGATACCCCACCCCCCTCAAACTCCCCCCTAGTTTCATTCTCTCCGGCTCACGGATCGCACGCGACGCGCGCTTGCCCTCATCCGGGGTGCGCCCTCCTCGCCCCCTCGCCCCGACTCCGCTCCCTGGAGGGCTTCGCCCCACCAAAACGTTCATCACTCGGGCCTCGCTCCGTGCGTCAACCCGAGGGAGAACACCAGAAACCGGCCATTGGATCTGGGGTGCGCGCTCCTCGCCCCTCCTCTGCACTCCTGCCTAGCGGGCGTCGCCCCACCAGTACGTTCATCACCCGTACCTCGCTCTTTCCGCAATGCATGCACAGGAATGTATACACATACGCACGGTGAGAAACAGACAGAGAGAGGGAGAGAGAAAGACAACATACAGAGAGAGGGATAGACATGAAGAGATACGGCAATCACGCGAGCGAGTGATACCCCGACATGTGCATATGTATACACTATGCGCATGCATGCACATACATACGTTGATATAAACATATAAGTCGTTACATGTGTGTATATATACATATATACAAATGTATGAGAGATAACACCAACCAAGTAAAGGAGAAGGGAGAAAACGACAAATAGAGAGAGAACCACATAAAAACAATGAGAGAGAGAGACAGAAAACAAAAAAGAGAGCGAGAGAGAGCGAGAGAGGGAAAGACAACATGAGAGAGAGAGAACAACAAAAAAGAGAGAGACAACGAGGGAGCGGGAGAGAGAGAGAGCGAGAGCGAGATTGAGGGCTCAAGGGTAAGGCGAGGGAGGGGGGGAGGGAGGGAGCTCAGCAGAAGACAGGGGAGGGAGAGACGGGAGGGCGGGAGACAGGCACAGCTTGAGGTGTGTGCGGCAAGACGAGGCGACGGAGACAGGGGTGCCACAGGGACCCCTCTGTGGCCGGCCAGCGGCGCATGGACGACAGCCTGCTCTGCGCGCAGCCGGGCGACCTCCTCGGGAGGACACGGGCGCATTACCCTGCAGAGGGGGCCCGCCCTCATGGGCCGACTTGGGGTTCCTTCCTTCGGTGGCAACTCATGGGGGCCTCCCATACCCTCTTGTTGGTTCTCGCGAATCGACGCTCATCGACGCTCGCCGACGCTATATCGCCGCGGGCTTGTCAATGACCAAACGCACGTCGGCAATCGGCGCTAACGAGCTCTCAAGACGGAGTTGCCCGGTGTACAAAGCTGCCACGACTTGCAGCCGAACCCGCCTCTCCGCCCCCCTTCGTTTCTTCATCCTTTCGCTGCTCACCAGCCAGCGCGGAGCAAGGCCTGCACCGTGTTGCGCCAAGCAGCGCGCCAATTTTCCAGTGTGGCTTGACTTTTTGGGGACGGCACTCGCCAGGCCCAAGGTCGCGAAAAAACTTCTCAGGATGGAGCGCCGGCTCGCGGGCAAGGGTCGGGATTCTGGGGAGTTCGCACGACACAAAAGCAGCACGCCGACTCTCTGAATACCAGGCACGCTCTGGTTGTCACGACTTGTGCGTTGGCTGCTGAGACAGCGTGGATCGGTCAGCCTTAGCACTTGGGGCTTTTCGACATCACGCAGGAAGTTCGGTGTCGGCCGACTCCGGGGCACAGGTGGCGTTCAATCTTGAACGCCCGCGCCAGGCTGCCGTGAGCGACCCGCTTAGAATTATCCTGGCGAAGAACCCAACCACCTGCACGTGCGAAGCCCGCGAAGAAGGTGACACGAAGAAAAACAACCCCCCGATGGGATCACGAACCGTGTGAGGGGCGTGCCGATACCATGGGCATTCGGTGGGCACGGAGCTGCATGCGAACCAAGCCTTCGGTGGAGCTCCGTATGGGGCCACGAAGCGTGCGAGGGGTGTGCTGACAATGGCAATGTGGACGCATGCGAACGGCGCGACTGGGGCCTTCGGTGGGGCTGCCTGCGGGGTCACGAAACGTATGAGGGTGTGCCGGATTGGGTGGCGGGGGCCGACGCGGGCGATGTTACTCGGGCATTCGGTGGACACCCCTTATGGGGCCACGAAACGTGCGAAGGGTGTGCTGAGATTGGTGGCGGGGCCTCGTTCGGGCGGTCGCACTGGGGTTTCCGGTGGAACTCCCTACGGCGCCACGAAGCGTGTGAGGAGCGTGCTGACAATCGCGATGTGGACGCATGCGGGCGGCGCCGCTGAAGCCTTCGGTGGAGCTCCCTACGGGGTCACGAAACGTATGAGGGTGTGCCGAATAGGGTGGCGGGGACCGATGCGGGCGATGTTACTCGGGCATTCGGTGGACACCCCTTATGGGGCCACGGAGCGTGCGAGGGGTGTGCTGAAATTGGTGGCGGGGCCTCGTTCGGGCGGTCGCACTGGGGCTTGAACTCCTTACGGCGCCACGAAACGTGTGAGGAGTGTGCCGAAAATGATGGCGGGGGCGCATGCGGGCGGCGCCGCTGAAGCTTTCGGTGGAGCTCCCTACGGGGACACGGATGGCCTTCAGCGCTGCTCTCTATAGGGGGCCACTAAACGTGTGAAGGGTGTACCGCCGTGGGTGGCGGGGACGCATGTGGGTTCACCGGGGTTTTCGGTGGAGCCCCCGACGTGGCCACGAAACGTATGAGGGTGTGCCAAGGTGGATGGCTGGGACGCATGCGAACTGCGCCACTAGGACCTTCGGTGGGTCCGTGGGCCCCCCTTTATGGGGCCAAGAAACATGTGAGGAGTGCGACAGACTCGGAAGCGGGGACGCATGCAAGCTGCGCCACTGGGACCTTTGGTGGGGTTCGCTATGAGGCCAGGGAACATGTGAGGGGTGTGCCGAAATCAATGGCGGGGACGCATGCGGGCTGCGCCGCTGTGACCTTGCGTGGAGCTCCGCGTGGGGCCGCAAAGCGCGTGAGGGTGTGCCTGCATGGGTGGCGGGGGCACGTGCGACATGCGCCACTGGGACGTTCGGTGGAACTTCCTATGGGGCCACGAGACAGGTACCGACATGGGCGGCGGTAGCGCACGCGAGTTGCGCCATTGGGATCTTCGGTTGAGCCCCCGACGGGGCAACGCGACGTGTGAGGATGTGTCAGCGCGAGCGGTGGGGGCGCATGCGAACTGCCCCGCCTGGATATTCGGAAAAATTCCCTTTGTGGCCACAAAACATGTGAGGGGTGTGCCGAAATGGACTGCGGGGGCGCATGCGAACTGCGCCACTGGGACCTTCGGTGGGGCTCCCTGCGGGGCCGCGAAACGTGTGAGGAGGCCAACCGTCATGGCGGGGACTCATACGAACTGCGCCTCCGGGACATTCAATGGAGCTCCGTATGGGGCAACGAAACGCGTGGGGGCGCGCCGAAAGTTAAAGGCGGAGGCGCATGCGAACTGCGCAATTGGGACCTTTGGCGGGGGTCCCTTTGGGTCACGGAACGTTTGAAGGCTGTTCCGAAATAGCTAGCGGGGGCCCGTGAGAACTGCGCCACTGGGACCATCGGTGGGCTTCCCCGCGGGGCCACGGAACGCGTGACGGGTTCGCGCAAGCTGACGGAGATCGCGGTGATGATGACGGCGATAATGATGACGACGCCGGCGGCGACGACGCCGACGACGCTGGTTTCAACGCCCACTCGGCATAAAACAGCCGAAGGGTTCGGGCACAATATATGTATGCCTGGGCCACGCCTTGCTTGCGCGCGTCACGCTGCGGCCTCCAGGAGTGCTCTGGCCCCAGAGGAGACACCAAGAACAACAGCTCAGAGCTAACCTCCAAGAAACGATGCCTCGAAAGATCTCGGGGCCAGAACCCAACGAACTCAGCTGCCTCCGAAACGGCCTCACATTCATCTGGAGGGTGACAGTCCTCTGCGGCAAACGCCGCGGGAGGACTCGCACGGACAACTATTTCTTGCCCATCTTGCGGACCAGGTTGCCCTTGGGGGGCGCGCCCCTATTTGCCCGCTGCTCCCATGTCCCTGAAGATTACCGAGAATGCGCGATTCATCTCAAGCAGCAGACAACTCTCTGGGAGGGGGAACGCGACCTCGAGGGGATGCGCATGCATTTCGTTGAGCTCTGCCTCTTCCTTCGCCTTTTTGCACACGGCCTCGGCTGTGTCCCTTCCCTTTGCGACCGCGACCTGCCCGCGAAGATCGATCGTGACCCCGGTCCTCTTGCCGTTGTAGGTCTTGTTGAACCCACAGACTTTGCGCCACCCCTCTATCATAATCGCGTCCTTGCAGGCTTCTATGTGCAACTTGAGCCGCTCTGCTAGGCACTGGTAGCCCCGGAGGTCTTGGGAGACGCCCTGTGCGAAAAAGTTCGCAATATCGCTCAGAAGACTCCCGAGGAGGTTAAGATGCGGGCTCCCTAGGTTGTGGCCCCCTCCCTTCTCCTTGACCTCCGTGTCGTGCCGCTTCTGGATGGCTGCCATAATCTTGACGATCAAGGCGTCGCTATGAAGAACTTGTTGATCTGACCCTCGAACTCCAGCGTGCGTATTCGACTCTCTAGCTGCCGCACTAGCTTCTGGTCCGAGGCCACGTTCTCCGTGTTCGGCTTTTTGGCGGGGAGCGCTTTCCTCGTTGCCTGTCGCTCTTCCCGGCTTTTTGCCTTGGTGGAGGCCGCTCCACTGCATCTCTCTCGGACGGAAGCTCTTTCCTGAAAAAACGATCTGGTGTTCTGGTAGTAGAGAAGAGTAAAGCCCAAGCTGTCAGTGCCAACGGAACTGCTCAGTATAACCGGTTGGAGTGTTACAGGTAGGGCGCTGTATTTCAAAAGTCCCTTGAATTTCAATTCCTGATTTAGCTCGGTCTGGTATACAATACCCTTTGGTAAAACCCGTGCGCATAGGATTGTTTGTTATGGCGTTGCTTTTGAATATCGCGTTGCACGCAGTACATTGATTCTGCATTGCCACGATACGTGCAACATGTCGTACTCCATGAGTGCCACTCTTGGTGTGCGCGAGGTGTTTGGTAAGAACATGCTGTGTAGCAAACGTCGCGTCACATGATAACCCATCCGCCCCCATATGCTGGACACCTATAAGGGAGGGGGGAGGAGGAGTGAGAAGTGACCGCAGGGCGCTGTCTCTTCAAAACGATGACCGAAGTCCATAGAATGCTTGGGAAACCACAAACACATCCCTCGGGGGGGGGGGCATGATCTGGCGGCGAATCCAGAGTGAAAAGAGAGGGGGCAAGCCTTTTCAAAAGGCGGCGGGGCTTCTTAGAAACCCGCGCGTTTTGTGGGTCGTCTTCTAAGCTATGTCCGAAAAAGCATACAACAACAAACGACTGTTTGGATTGTGCGGGGGGGGGGGTCTGAAACATCCAGCCGCTTGCCGAAACAACAAAAAACATGCCCTTTTCTCACTTCCCCCCAGGGCTCGCCGCCAAATGCTTCGGATGTTGGTCGAAGAGCCCCTGGCCCAAGGCGCCCCCGGTTTTTCAAAGAAACCCACGAGGCCCAAAGCACCCCTCACGAGGCCCAGGGGGCAGGGGCTCCAAAATGGAGCGACAAGTTGGGGGCACCTTGGGCCAGGCGCATTTCTAGCAACCCCCGAATATATTACCGCGCCGTTTGTTTTCGACGCGCCCGACCGCGCCCCGAATGGACGACGCCGACGCCACGGCAAACCCATGGCAAACCCGTGAGCAGGGGCCAACCGTCCTGGCACTCCTATAGGCCTACCACGACATGTTCCTAGAACCCACATATGTTCCAATAGCAATCACAATGCCCTAAGAACATAAAGCGCGACGCGTTGAAACAAACCAATATCGGCCAGAAATGTTCTAAGAACATTTCGTGTGGACCACGAAAAACAAAGGTTCTTAGCACATTCCTCGGTGGCCCTAAAGGCGAGCCAGGACTCTTCGCCACTGCTCGAATGTCTGCCGTCCTCCGAATTGTTCGCGGATTAATGAGGGCGATACACCTGTGCCCTTGCAGTTAAAACCCTGGGCATAATGAAATGCGGTGTCCAGGAGGGGCAATAAACGCTTTACCGCCAAATCAGATGATCATGATGGTGCCGATGATGTTCATGAAGAAGAAGATGATGATGATGATGATGATGATGATGATGTTGGTGATAATGCTGATGATGCTGATTCTGATGATCTTGAACGCTCCTCTAGATCCTCGCTATGAGTGTCCTTGGTGCTCCTCGAGACCTGGCACCTCAAGCCTGCCTACGCCGTGGAGGTCCTCGGCGCCCCCCGCCAGGACACCTCTCTTGCGAAACACCTCGAACCAATCGCCCATGCAGGCTCGGCGCCCCTTGGTGCCGTCCTTGCAGGGCAACCGCTGTTAATGATGTTTGATAGTCGACCTAAGAAGATACATTTTCGATTCGCAACTGGCCCCACGACGAGAAAGTTCGGCCTTGCCGTGCCTCTCCCCCGACCAAATCTGCGGGGATCATAAACTGTCGGGGTCTAAGGGAGTAGGTACTCTTTATTATCTCTGGGCCGCGTTTCACTGGAGGGGGGAAAGGTGCCCTTGTCGGGCCCTAGAGGCCCCCTTTGGGGCCCTCCAGGGCCCCTTCTCGGGCCCTGAAGGGCCCCTGTTCGGCAGCCCTTGCTGCCCGCCCCCCCACGACGCAACGCCCAATCAAATCTCCTGCTGGGCTTCCGCTGGCTCGAGCCGCCCCCGACTTGCTCCTGGCCCTCCGCGGGCCCTCTTGGGCGCCCGAGTTATCCAGGGTAACTCGGGTCCGGGGTAACTCGGGTTTGGATTCCCGAAAAAGGAACCCGAGTTAGCCCTGACCCGAGTTACCCCTGATGATTCGGGGCTCTGGACGCCCGAGTTATCCGGGGTAACCCGGGTCCGGGGTAACTCGGGTTTGGATTCCCGAAAAGCGAACCCGAGTTAGCCCTGACCCGAGTTACCCCTGATGATTCGGGGTTCTGACCCTCCGCCTGCCCTCGGCCGAGGGCGAGGCGAGGCGCCGACGCCTCGAGAGCGGGGCCCTTCTTGGGGGCGCCCGGCACCCACAGACCTCCAGCGTCGCCCGTCTCTTTGGGGGAGCGCCATTTCGGGACTCGTCTCTCGTCCTGGGCATGTCTCCTCTCCTCTCCTCCTCCTCCTCCTCCTCCTCCTCCTCCTCCTCCTGCTCCTCCTCCTCCTCCTCCTCCCTCCCTTCTCCTCCCTTCTCCTCCCTCCTCCCTCCTCCTCCCTGCTCCATCCTCCTCCCTCCTCCTCCTCTCCAGCGTCGCGCAAGACCTCAAACCTGCCACGGGCGTCCGCGAGACCCGACCCGCGATGGAGAGCAGGTCCAGCGGACGGGGGGGTTGAGGCCTGCGGGCCCCGCGCCGCGAACCCACAGCACGACGGAGCCAGGCTCCCCTCGCTCGCCGCCGCTCGGACGTCCCTTCCCCGTGCATCTGTCGACTTCGTGCGCGTATCTGAAGGGGAACTGGGACACACAAATAGACACACACAAAGAATAAGATCTCCCCTATTTTCCCATATTTTCTGGGTGTTTGTCTTCCCCCCACTTCCCATATTTTCCCATATTTTCTGGGAATCGACGATTAATTGTGTCTGTGTTTTTTCCCCTCCTGAGTATTTTCCGCTACATGATCAAAGATGCTCCTCGATGGTCCTCGCAGAGAAAAAATGCACACGTACGAGCGATGCCGAGCTCGAGTCATGAAAACCTCAGGACGGGAGCTGTTTCTCCACTTTCGGCTTCTGGGGGCCCTGACCGGGCCTCGGGACCGCCAAAAACGAATCAGGATGAAAACCCGTTGCCGGAGAATGGGTCGAGACCTCTGGGAGTCGACATTGTGGAAAAAAATCATTCGGCGGCGAGCGAGGGAGGGGCAGTCCTTCTCAGAAGGCGGCGGGGCTTCTCAGAAGCGCTCCGGCCTTCTGAACAGTTTTCCGTGTCTTCGGGGACGGCTGAGAAGACTTCTCAGAAGGCCGATGGACTTTCGAGCCTTCTGAGGAGGCCCGCCCCCTCTGCATTCCCCCCCCGGGCTCGCCGCCGAGTCGTGGCGTCGGGGGTCTGGGGAGCACGCCTGGGATCCTGGCCGGGCCAGTCCTGGGCCCCCGGTCGGTGGACGCGCGCTCCCCCGCGAGGCCAGAGGGGCAGGCGCACGGACCCTGTCGACACGCGACCGGCCCGGCCAGCGCATGGCCGCGGATGCTGTCGGCGCGCGCACGGGGGGGGGGGGCTCGGCGGGGCGGTTTCCCGTGGAGGGCGGGGCACACGCTCCCGGGAGCGGCCGAGAGGGGGGTGTCCAAGAGAGGGGGGGGGGGGGGGGCAAATCATGACCGGCGGCATGTGCGCGGCCCAGCGGGGGGGCCGGGAGCGTAATGAAACAAGAAGAGACGCCGTGAAGTCTGGGGAAATATCATGGCCCCCGCCATGAGATGCACCCCCCCTCAGACCCAGACCCCCGACGCAATGATTTTTTCATTACGTCAACCTCCAGTGGTCCCGACCCTTTCCCCATGACCGGCTTTGCATCCTGAGTCGTTTTTCGACGCTCCCGAGGCCCGGTGAGGGCCCCCAGAGGCCGAAAACTAGGAAAAACCTCCCGTCACGATTTCTTCATTACTCCAGGGGGTCTGGGGACTGGGAGGGCCCTCGTCAGACCGGGAGGCCCCCCGCGAAGGCCCCCGCCTTCTCTCGGGAGAGCTCCTCCGCCCTCCCGGGCCCCATGGGGCCCTGGCGGCTCGATCTCTCCGCGCGCCGGGCGTTGTGGCGCCCCGCGTCGGGGCCCCCGGGGGCCCTCACGGATCGATATGCGGTCGGCAACCGGCCGAGGGAGCTCGGCGCTTCTGCGTCGCAGCGCCCGGCCTCGGGGCGAGGCCGCCCCCCCCCCCCCCCCTCCCCTCCCCCCCCCTTTCGGGATCATTGCCCTGCTCGACGTCCCGACTGAGCGAGTAGAGAGGGGATCTGCGCCATGGTAAGGGATGGGAGGGAGGGGTAGGATGTCAGATATGACGCGAGCGCACCTAGCTTGCCCCTCCCCCCCTCTCCCCCCCCCCCCCCCGCGCCACCCTCCCCGTGTGCGCCGCCGAGGCGACCTGGCGCCCCCCGGCTCCTGCACGCTGAAGGTGGGGTTGAAGATGCTCCCGCTCAGCAGCGGACCCCAGCTCCGGGGCGCGCCCACCTGGGCTCCGCGCGCAAGAGGGCGCGCGGCTTTCGGGGGGCCGGGTGGGCCGAACCCAAGCGCGCAGGCCGCTGCCATCGTGGACCCCTGAGGGGGTACATCCGGGGGAAGTCCGGCTCAGGGGAGGACATATCGGGCTGGAATCGGCAGTACATCGCCAACAGATCGGCGATAGGCCCCGGATAGCGGCTATGCACGCTAGGGGTGAGGATATCGGACTCCCGTCGTCGATGAATAGGCGAGAGGGGGGCATGCATCCCAGCCCCCAGTTCCACCCCCTATCGGCAATGAATGGGCGATTGGGGGTCCGAGTACGAAGAAGCACGGCCCTACCTACAATCCAGGAGGGAAGCTCCATGACTACAGGGGGACCGTGACCAGAACCGACGCGAGGGGCCGCTCCCCAACCACGGCCTCCGAAATCTTCCCTCGTGGCGCTGTTCGGCCACCGCAGCCGGCTCTCCCTCCCCTTTCACTGCCCCTGAACCCCACGTCGGCCCGCACGAAAAGTCACTGCGGCGAAGAGCCGCTCTTTCGGGGGAGCAAAATGATATCGGAGAAATGCCCCAATCAGGGCTATAGGGCTACAGGGCTATTGGGCTGCTATTGGGCTATATAGGGCTATCGGGCTATATGGCACCCCCGGGCACCCGGGCACCCCCGGGCGCGCCCGGGCTCCCGGGCACCCGCGGGCACCCCCGGGCACCCGGGCACCCCCGGGCGCCCGGGAGCAAAAGAATACCGATGCCGCTGCGCCCCAGACCTCTCCTGGGGTGCGTCCTGACCAGAACTTCGAGGCGGATCCAGCCGTGGCGACGAGGGCCTCCCAGGAGGCCCCCCAACAAGGAGAAAACGAGGAAAGGGTAGCCTTGCAACTGACTACCTACCAGACCACCCCAACCCAACCCGAAGGCAAGAATTTCGGGTTGGGGGGGTAAGGGCTCCATACGTGTTTTTTTCGATGTTCCGCGACCCCCCCCCCACTGGAAATGGATGGCAAATCTGAGCCTTCGGGTTGGGCTGGGGTGGTGTGGGGAGCAACATTGCAGAAATCATGATCGGAGCCCTTGACTGCATCTTTCTGCGCCATTTTCCGCCCCGGATTGTGAGGGTCCTGGGGCCCGAAACTGGGCGAACACGCCCGTGGTGAAAAAAACGCAACGCCAAGATCTCAAGGGATACCTTCCCAGACATGCGACGTCCTGATTTTTTCAGGACGGCGCCCTTGGAAATCTAGACCCTTTCCCTGGGGCCGGTTTTCCGTCCAGAGTCGTTTTTTGATGGTCCCGAGGCCCGGCGTGGGCCCCCAGGGGCCGAAAATAGCGAAACACTTCCCGTCCTGATTTTTACGACGCCATCATGTCTGGGTTTCCTTCCTCTGACTTTCTGCGCGTCGCCGGCCTCTCTCGCCAGCGCCGCCGCCGCCGTCCCGGCGCGCGAGCGCCGCACCTCGGAGGCGGCGATATGGGGGCGAGTAGCCCAGGGGAGAGCAATCTACTTGTACTTTCGGGTGGTGCGCCGATGACCCATGTCTTCGGAGAGGCTCCCGGGCGAATGCGTGCAATGCCCGCCCCTGGGCTATATTCGCCCCTATCTTTGGCCGCCCGAGATGGGTACGGAACAACTGGGTACCAAGCCCAGCAACAGATGTTGTTCCAAACCAGCAGCGGCCGCTGTTGGACGGGCGGCCTCCTGCGTCGAATGGGCGCAGGCCGCGGCGGCGCGGACAGCGAGCCCCGTTCAAAGGGAACAGGAACTGCTGCTGGGCACCGAGGCCCATTCTCTCCGTATGCCCACCTCGGGCGCCCAGACCTCCGTGGGCCCTGGAAACGACAGGGCCGATTTTGTTACAGGTTCCGTTTTGCCGTATGTTTGCCGGTTCCGGTCGCCGTTTTCGTTACCTTTTCCATTTTCAATGGACATTTTTCCGGAAACGGTGAAAAAACGGCCCTGTCGTTTTCGGGGCCCACAAAGGCCCAGACGAGCGCCCTCGCGGCCTCCTCCTCCTCGTCCTCCTCCTCCTCGTCCTCCTCCTCCTCCTCCTCCTCCTCCTCCTCCTCCTCCTCCTCCTCCCCCTCGTCCTCTCGCGGCCTTCCCCGCGCAGTGCCCGGCGGCGGCGGCGGCGCTCCCCGCCGGGGCGGCGGCGGCGGCGCCGCCCGGCGCGGGCGCCGCGGGCGCGGGGCCCGCGGGCGCGGCCTCGGCGGGCCGGGCCCGCGCCCTCGCCACGAGGCCTCCTCGGGCGGGGTGGAGGGCCACCAGGACGTAAGTCGGGCCTGTCCCCCTGCAGCGGGGATTTTGGACGGAAATGTAATACAAATGCCCCCCCAAAAGCCCCCCCGAATGGTCCACAAATGCGACAAAAAAATCGTCCCCAGACTAATTTTATACTCTTTCTTTGAAGACATTCCCCCTGTAGAGGGACAGGCCCGACTTCATCCCAGACCCCGATGTCAAAAATCCCCCTTGGACCCCCTTCCGGGGGGGCACGACACCCAGCGTTGGGCTGCGCCCCCCCCCCCCCCCCCCCCGAACTGCTGCTGTGCCGGCGGCTCCGCGGGGGCGGCGAGCGCCCCGACCGCGGAGCCGCCATGGGCGCCTGCGCCAACGAGCCGTGAGAGCGGGTCCAGCAGTCGACCGACGAGGATCAGCCGGGGTGCTCCGTGCGCCCGCCCGAGGCGAGAATATCAGATATGGATGCGTGGGCCAAGACGCACACTAAGCACGATGAGAAGAAGAGTGAAGGATGATCCTTCCCTCACGTGCAGACTGCGCTCCACACGCTCTCGTTCCGGAGGGACGGGCCAGGGTTGCAGGGTAAGCGCCCGCTTTGCTATGGCCATTCCCCAGACCGCCGACGGCGGCCCCTCCGGCCCGTGCGCCCACCCGAGAAGCCCCTTTCCCGAGAGCAGGCGCCCTCAGAAAAACGTCATCAGGACGGAAGGCTGTTCGCCATGTTCGGCCTCGAGGCCTGAAACGGCGAGTGACCTTCCGTCCCGACTTGTTCACTGTCCGAGGAGGGACTGTCGATTTTGTTGGGCATCTGTAGGGGAACAACAAGTGGCATAACCATAAAAACTCCGAGGTCCGCGCGGACCTCCGAGTTTTTATGTTTATGCCACTCTTTGTTCCCCTAGAGGAGGGCCTCTCCTTTTTGTTGGGCCTGACTGGGCCTCGGGACCGTCAAGAGACGACTCGGGATGAACACAACCGGTCCCAGGGCACGGGTCGAGACGCCTAGGGGTCGACGCGGTGAGAAAACACGACGTCGGGTGTCGGTGTAGCCAGACTTCCCGAGGATGCCCCCGGGACTTCCCAGCCTTCTGAGCCTTCTCCACAGACACACAAGACAGCAGAAGACTTCTCGGAAAGCGTCGGGGGGGGCTTCTGAGAAGCCCTGGCGCCTTCTGGAAAAGGCCTGCCCCCTCTCACTTGCCTCTGGGCTCGCCGCCAAACAGTTTGGGTGTTGGTAGGAAGTGCCCCTAGCCCAAGGTGCCCCCGGGAGTTCCGAGGAGGCCCCCGCGGACTCCATGAGGCCTCAGGGTGTCCCAAATGAACGGGAAAGCTGGGGGACACCTTGGGCCAGGGGCACCTTTCGCAACCTCCTGCCGGGAGGGCGCCGTCTCGATGCGCCCGCGCCGACCCTGGCAGGGCCGGTCCTGGCACCCGCCAATCTTATGGTTGCAATCCGCGGCCCCAGAGACCCCGACCGTTTCCCCAGGGGTGGTTGTTTGTTCTGGATCTGTCTGACACACCCCGGGCCCCATAACGGGCCACGAAGGCCGTATCGATAGGAAAACGCCGGGATTGTACACACACAAATCACATCGTCGGAGATCTGGGAGTGCAGCCATCGTGCTATCATGAGGAACGCCGAATAAGGAACGACGGGGCTTTTCTGGCCTCGGTGAGCCTCGGCCACGAATCGGTCCCCCGACCCTGGATCTAAGGA